TATATCTTAAGCAACGAAAAAACTTATTTAAAAACGGATTTCAGCATTGAAATCAGCGTGGAAATCTAGTTCATAATGATATGTCACAACACTATAATTACATTAAAATATATTTATATCCAATATGGCAGATCCAATATGGCTGATCCAAGATGGCGGCCCCAAAAGCGTCCCCTATTGAAATTAGGTACGGACCATCAAAAAAATATCGGTCGTGGTTCCAAGTCAATATCTCGAAAAATGTGCAAAAAACATGTGATATCTTTTTTTTTGAAAAATTTGTCCAATATTGGGGAAAGCCATTTTTCCCTTAATTTAGGGGTATCCCGTGGACTGACTTTTTGCAACTTTTGGTATGTGACTCTGCACACCACAACAATAAAAATAAAACCATAAAATGTTTACTTGCAAATTTGTATACGGTCCCTGTGTACGTTATTTTTAGTTTGCTTATGGACTATTACATTAATTTATAACAAATATTTTTATTTGAAATATTTTATTATTTCTACGAGGTTAATTTTTTGTTGTAGGTACATGTATTTGGTATCATTTTAAAGGTAATTTCAGAAGGAACATTAAATGTATTGACGACTTTTCACCAATATTGACTGGAAAGTCAGAATTTCGATAAAAAGCAAAAAACTACTGGATTTGGCCGCCATTTTGGAAAAATGGTGGTGTTCCACCAAAGATATTTTTGGAGACTTTTGATATGTTATTCACAATACTTTTCACTATCGAACAATAATGGTTTCGTCTGTGTTCTAATTATTTCTAGGTCAAACCATATATTCAGGGGCCTATTAAGGACTCTTTGGACAGTAAGAAAACGCATGTTGCCACGATCGGCGTTGGTCGAGTACCAATATGGCTGCCATCCAAAATGGCGGACCACCTGACTTGACCTTGATTGAGAAAAATGCAAATAACTCCATAATTTTTAGACCGATTTCGATAATTTTTTTATAGTTGAAAAGAAGAAGAAATTTGCTTTAAGAACCTTTACTGATAACTTAGATTGTAATAAAGATTTTACTTTCAAAACGGATTAAATATACGTTGAGGTGATACGAACTCAACCTTGTAGCTGCTTGGGTAATAAAAACGTAATTATCCTTTATCATTTAATAACCAAAATTTAATAATTTGTAACTTAATAATCCTTATATTATTAATGTTATTAATTTACAACGAAACAATTGGAGAAGGTACGTTTTTAAAAAAGAGCAATGCAAGAAAAACTTCATGTAACGGTTGGGTAAACAGATTTTTTAGGGTAATTTGACCCTGCTGAGTACAAATCTGCGTGTTGCCAAAGTGAAATTTGAACCGGAAGTGCGGTATCCAAGATGGCGGCCAGACCCTGTTTGCCCCATTACTCTTTTGTTATTTGGCCTAAAATATTGGTTTAAACATCCGAATATGGGTTTTCTCAGGTGCCTAACACATTGAAATACTCAAAATCTGCTTACATCAACTTTTAAGAGCATATGTTCCAAGATGGCGTCCTAAAACTCTGTTTACGCATATCTCTCTTCTAAGTTCGCCTAAAATATAGTTTTATCATCTGCTTAGGGGTTTTATCGGATTAAACCCTACGATATCTGTGGAGGCTTTTTGGACTGACTCAAATCTCACAAGGATGGGATGTACTGGTGTCAGTGAAGCCCCCATCTATATGACTCGGTGCTATCTTCCTCGGTCGGACAAGATGAGCATTTTCCAACACGTTCTAATGGAACGTTTTTAAAATTTTCAGTACAACAAATAATTTAGTTAGTAAAACCCTGGAGGATAGAATCTGACGATCGTGTCTTTGCCTAATGACATCTTAGGAGTTGCAGATGAAGAGGGCAAACTAAATGATTAAATAATTACATAACATGTTTTGGTCTAAAAAACTTTAGTTAAATACCAGCTTTCATTTGAGCTATTGATTATTAAGATCGGACTACTTAAAGCAAGTGCTGAATCATGAATCAACCATAATTATAATCGTTTTAGTACTTATCTGCAATCAACGATACGTAACTATATTTTTATTTAAGTCATTTTATATGACTTGATCTTAAAATACTTCTAGAAATAAAGGGTTTCATTTGAGATCAGATAAAAACAAAATACTGTTTCGCTCAATCAGAAAACACAAATTTGATTATATATTGCATATGGGTTTTAGTTTTAGATATACTTACTCAATTCTAATTACGTTATCCTATTTTCCGTTCCCCAAAAGATTATCCAAATGCAGGTTCTTTTGACCTAAGAACCTTCAGTGAAATAGAAGAACCTTCTACCAGCTTCCATTTGAATCATTTTTCATCAAGATCGGACTTACCTAAAGCGCACTTGGTAAATCACGAACAACCCAAATTCTTCAAAAATTTGAGCTATTTATCACCGATTTATAGTCAACGATCTTGCTTGCAACCTCAACAGTAACTGTCGACTTTGACGTGTTTCACCTTGTAAATCTTTAAAAAAATCAAAATTTCATAATTATTTGGAAATCCACACGAATTAGGCTTTCCAATGACCTATTAAATATTAAAATCGGTTCTGTAGAACTGTAGATTTATTGTACAAAGTTTAACAACAACATCTTTAATTGAGTATTTTCTCACCACTATAAATAGGGAGGTTGCTTAACATTTTTGCAAATAACTTTAAAATGGTGAGGAAATCAACTAAAGTGGAAGGTGATATTCTGATATAGAATAAATTTTCCTACAAATTACTGTCATATTATGTATTTCTTGAAAATACTCAATACTCAATTAAGGTAGCCTAAAGTTGGCTACAAATATAGGCTAAACTTGGAAATATAAACTTGGGAAAAAAGGTGTTTTAAATGTATTGTTATTTTTTTTTTTACCTCAAATGTGTAATAAAATCAAACTTTTATAATTATTTGCAAATCTATACAAATTAGGCTTTCCAATGACCCCTTAAGTAACACACAACATCGGTCCGGTAAAAGTCTAGATTTAGTTGTACAAAGTTTAACAAAACTATATCTAGTTCGGTATTTTCTCACAACTATAAATTTGGAGGTCACTTAGTTTATTGCCAATAACTTTTAAATGGATGGGTAATCGACCAAAAGTGGATGTGATATTCTGAAATAGAATAAAGAGTAATTCAAATAACCACTATGCACTTCTTGAAAATACTAAATAAAGGCAGACAAAAGCTGGCTACAAATAGAAACTTAAAAACAGAAACTTGAAAAAGTAGTTTTTAATCTATCTTTGTAATTTTTCATTTTTTACTACAAATATTTAATAAAATTACACTTTCAAAATTATTTGCAAATCTACATAAAATAGGCCTTCCAACGACCTATTAATTAACAAAATTGGTCCAGTAGAAGTCTAGATTTAGTTGTTCAAAGTTTAACAAAAATATCCCTAACTCAGTATTTTCTAATTACTATAATTTCGGAGGTTGCTTATCTTTTTTGTAAATAACTTTTAAATGGTGAGGAAATCGACGAAAGTGGATGGTGATATTCTAAAAAGAATAAAATTTCCTACAAATTGATACCATGCACTTCTTGGAAATACTAAAAAATCAGCCAAAAGTCGCACACAAATAAAAAGTGTGAAAATCACAGTTTTCAATGTATTTCTTATGGAAAACATGTTTTTTTTTTCACCGTTGATGAAAACACAAAATCTAACGCAAGTAATTTTCTTCTTTACATTTTATATAAATAATATTATGTTCAATATTTTAATAATTTAATTCACTAAATCATCATCACCAACTGTAAGGATAACTCCATAACCAATCCTTAGAGGATCCCTAAATTTCTCTTTAGACTTTTACTTTGAAACTTTATTACTTTGAACCTTGAAATAGGCCTAGTGATTTAGTAAAATATTTTGAAAAAGTTGTTTTAGCCCTAGATCCCTTTCTTTTTGACATTTTTTAAGCTTAACCTGATTTACCTTTCATTTTTGGATAATTTTAGTTACTTTAACAAATAGGTTGTTTGTTTTTTCCAACTTTATCTGTAGTTAAGAATAATTTCAACTTTGTTTTAGAGTACCTGAATTACATTATTCTGTTATTTAAAACTGAGGTTTTCATTGTTATTTAAATTTTCGTATGTCAAGAATAACTGGGTTTCTATTTGGCCTTGCTAAGTCCTAGGGTTGTGTTTTCTTTTGAACCGTAATTCTTTGTGGTCACTGGAGCAGTTCAAATTTATACTTTAAACCAGATTAAATTACTTACCAAATGAATAATTAATTTATTATAGTATCAAGACTAAAGCTAAACATCCAACAGAACAAGACTTTTGACTTCAATATACGTTTTACAATAAAAAAATATTAAACTACTTCTAACCCAATTGGAAATTAAGGATAAGTATTAAAAAGGTACTGTCTGTCTTCATTCTACTCGACAATGAGCATTCGCAAATTTTCAAAAATAATTTATTTTTTATTTTTTATCATTTTAAATAACCGGCGTTGTAGTATATCAAAGTAAGCTAATTTCATAACGGGTAAGAAAATCTAACCGGAGAAGCGATAAATGCATTGGTATAGGAAACACAAAGTATTAAAAAACTATACATTTTTCTTTTTTAAAAACTGCCGCCATTTTGAAACGGAAAAAGATATTTAATTTATGTTTTCGCCAAAATGTGTGTCTATCAAATACCTTTAAAACGATGTATAACATGACATTTGTTTACATTTGAAAATTCCGAGATTCGAACTAGTGACCCTCAGTTTTTGACACACCCTGTATTGGGAAAAAGTTAAAAATATTTTTACGTTATTCCTTGGGAACGATTTAGTGGGAAATAATTTTATTTCATCCTTGTACGTAAAGCCGTTTTTCCGTAATCAATTTGAGATACTCTCGTAAAACACCCTGTATATTAACTTTCATATATACTATACTTTAATATATACTTTACATACTTTAATTTATAAGTATATACTTTGGGATATTCTACTTTATTAAAAATATTACAGTACCTTAATGTGAAGGGAAGAGTTTTGCTGACCGTTACAGGGAGCCGCCAAAGAAATGAGAACTGGCCTCTCTGTCTCAGCAGTGGACGAGTTTACACCTACCACATTACATACTTGAATGATCATGTCAACAACTGACTCATCGCTCCTTAACTTGTCCCTACAGGTTTTCTTAATATTTTTAACAAGAGGGTTCTCTTGGGCGTTTTCCGAAAATCGCACTCCTTCAGCTTCAAAAATCGCCCTACTATCAAAATTTGGTAAATTTTTATAAAATTTTTACCGGTTTTCGCCATTTTTCCATACTTAAATAATTTTTTTTCAAAAATTTTATATTGCCTTGTATTCTTCTTACTTTACTTTAAATTTTTTTCATTATGTTTTGTCGTAACTTTACTCCTTGGCCCCCAAAACTTAATTTTAATCTCAAAATTTGAAGGTTTTTTGCCACTTTTACGAGCCCCATGTTATTCTTATGGAGAATAAGATTGAAAGTGGCCGACTTTGGTATGCTCATCTGAGAGGTTTAGAAACGTGATAGAGACTTGAAATTTGGCAGTAACGTAGTATGGAATCTTAAATTAACGGTGAAATTTGCAAAATTCCCATTTTCAAATTTTAACCACCCCAAAAATCCAAAATGACGGAACTCTCCTTTTAAGTCTTTTTTTTTGTTTTCACTACTTTTTCATACCTTTGCGATTTTTTTTGCAATTATTATTAATGCTTTGTATTTTCCTTAGTTTACCTTAAACTTTACACTGTACATGCTTTTTCGTAACTGTACTCCTTAACCCCTAAAACCTAAGTTTAATGTCAAAATGTGAAATATTTTTACGAGCTCCATGACATTTACAAAGTTTTAAAAGGACTCTTTACATGTTACATGGGCACAAGGGTATTGAAACTATACACACTTAACTGTATTAGATCTAACACCAAGGTGAATATAAAATGAACCATAAAAAAATTTCCCTCCCCCCTCCAAAATCGATTTCTCCCCTTATATCTTTCCTATAGTCACTACGGGTGCATCGGTCTAAATCACGTTTACCCCCTTATAGATTAGCTGGAGATTAAAATTTGGGACCATTGTAGATCTTGAGCTCTTATTTAAAACTGACATCTACAATAATAACCCCCCCCCCCCCAAATATCGAATTCCCCCCCCCAAATGTTATTCTTACAGGTGCATCGGTCTAAATCACGTTTACCCATTTTTAGATTAGTTGGAGATACTGTAATTTGGCCCGATTGTTGGTCTTGCACCCTTTTCGGAAATTAACATTAGAAAATAATAATAACCCCCTTCCAAAATATTGACTTCCCCAATGTCTAAATCACGGTTACCCACTTCTACATAAACTGGAGATCTGAAATTTGGCACGATTGTAGGTCTTTAGGTCTTGCATCCTTCTTGAAAAGTGACGTTTTACAAAAACAACCCCCCCCCCCCAAATATAAAATTTGCTGTCCCTCAAACACACTAGACAATTTTTAAAAGTTAAACTTTCCTATAATAACCCTTTTTAAGAATTCCGCCCCCAAACTATTCTTATGGGAAATAGATTTTTAAGCTTCTGACTTTTTTATGGGGAACAGAAGCCTTTTAAAGACTACTTTTCGGTAATAGCAATCTTACAGTTATTTTTTTTTGTACTGCCTTCTTGACTTATTTACGCTTCTTGGCATTGGCCTTTCACCCCCCCCCCCCTAAGTCTTGAATTTCCCCCTTTTATTTTTATAGGGAATAGGTTTGAAAGTGGCTGTTAGATATTTGTTACTGGAGATTTTAAGTTTGCCAAGTATGTAGTAAGTAATCTAATCAGTCAACACCCCAGAATGGGGGACTGGGGCTAGACTCTAATCTACAAATGACGACTAACTAAGAAATCGTTATTACTTAAATATTGATTTTCACTATTACGACCCCAATTATCCTTATTTTATCACTTCGTTTGACCAATAACTCACTAGTAAAAATACCTTACCATCTTATAATCTTACAGCATTTAAAAATATATTTTTATTTATTTAGTTATTAGCAGGGGGTTTGAATTGGAGCTTGGACTTAACTTATAATCCTCCTCTAATATAAACATGAAATTGCTTTCATATAACGTAATATCGTCAGTTTCACTTCCTGCTTCGTTACAACTAGACTCTTATCTACTAATCTTTTTTATCAGCTTTAGAAAATATTTTTTATAAGGGGTTCTTTAAGGTGGAGCTTGAAATTAACTTGCCAACCTCCTCTAAGTATTCGTGAAATTTGTTTTTAAATAACGTAAAATTGACTGTTTCACTGCCTGCTTTGTTTCAACTTTGCTACAACTCTAATCTATTAATTACGACTAACAGCTAGGGGGCCTGGGGCCCCAGCGAGCCAAAGGCGAGTTAGGCTTTCCAACGACCCATTAAGTAACAACATCAGTCCGGTAAAAGTCTAGATTTAGTTGTACAAAGCTTAACAAAAATATATCTAATTCAGTATTTTCTCACCAGTATAAATTTGGAGGTCACTTAGCTTATTGCCAATAACTTTTAAATGGATGGGTAATCGACCAAAGTGGATGTGATATTCTGAAATAGAATAAGATGTACCACAAATAACCACTATGCACTTCTTGAAAATACTAAATAAAGGTAGACAAAAGCTGGCTACAAATAGAAACTTAAAAACAGAAACTTGACAAAAGCAGTTTTTAATCTATTTTTGTAATTTTTCATTTTTTACAACAAATATTTAATAAAATCACACTTTCATAATTATTTGCAAATCTACATAAAAAAGGCTTTCCATTGGTCCATTAATTAACAAAATTGGTCTAGTAGAAGACCAGATTTAGTTGTACAAAGTTTAACAAAAATATCCCTAACTCAGTATTTTCTAATTACTATAGTTTCGGAGGTTGGTTAAATTTTTTGTAAATAGCTTTTAAATGGTGAGGAAATCGACGAGAGTGGAAGGTGATATTCTAAAAAGAATAGAATTTCCTACAAATTGATACCATGCACTTCTTGGAAATAAAAAAAACCACAAGCCACAAGTCGCACACAAATAAAAAGTGTGAAAAACACAGTTTTCAATATATTTCTTAATGTACAAGCATAAAATAAAATAAATATCAAGAGTTAAAAAATCAAACCAAGCAAAAATCAATCAAAACCAACCATGTGAAAAAAAGTCAAGACCATGCACAAAATAATACCTACAAAGCAAACCAATGCAGTTCATGCAAAACGCATGCACTATGCAAAAACAGGAAACTGTTCACAGGAAAACTTACTTTACTAACTACAGTGCCAAAAAACTCATTAAATAAAAAAAAGGATTTTCAATCAGCCAGTCTAATATTGCGGTTTGGAAAATCTTATTCCAGATATTGCACAATATGAACGTGTATGAGTGATATTGAAGAACAAATCCGATTGTGCAATATATTGAGTGAATTCAAAAAGTTTTCAAATATATTACACAATCTTAAATATTTTAAATCATGTATAGGTGATATTGCACAATATCCTTTCAGTCTGTAAGTGCATCTTCTAAAAATTGACGACTTGACTTAACCAAAGGTTGCACAATGTGTATGGTCGCTCTTCAATAAAATTGCGCAATATTTTGCACAATAAATATTGACTTTGTATGGGCCTCTTATAGTTATTTAGCTCAAAAAATAGGCAGAATCTTAGAAAAGTACAAAGCGAACCATGTGACTTGAGCCCTAGGCCTAGATGGCTACATGAAAACTACATGTGAGTGAATAAATCCTAATAAATGTAAATATTATGAAATATGTTTTGTACATACCTTTATTCGATGATGGTAGAGAGTTAAACGAAATAGTAACAAACCAATTTAGTAAATTTAAAACAGTATCCAACTTTATATAGAAAGTTAAAATTGGAGATACAAACACGTCTTCCCTGACAGAGATGGAGTAGAAAAAAGAAAGCTTCTTTCCAGCAAGAAATCTAAGCTTGCTCGCGGCGGAGGAATACTTGAGCAGCGTGAAATAGAACTAAAAGACTAAAGTACCAGATCTTGGTTAGAAATTGTAATAACAAATTAGAGATAGTCATAATCAAAAGCAATAACAATGCTTTAACGGAAAACTAGTAAATCAGACAGAAAATTCTTAAAAGCAAGAGAACTATATTTTTAATAGCTGAAAGCGGAGCGAACTACTACTGGTGACCCCACAGCCAACAAAATAAACGAATCGACGACTCACGTAAGTACTATAACAAAACCCACTATTCTAGTTAGCATACTAAAACAAGTGTGTCAGAAAACTGTCACAATTCATAATTAAAACATTCACTTCGGATACAACATGATCTCAGAACAACAAACAAACCACAAGAAACAGCTGCCAGCAGACTGTTCTCTGTTAAAAAGGGATTTCGACATCAGCTGATTTCAACAGCTGTAATTTCGTCTCAACCCACTAAAAAAATATACTCTCAGGCTATTACGATTGATGCTTAAGGCATAGATAATGCATTCTCCTGAAAAAGGTCTTTCATAGTCAAAAGCCTTTATTCCAGCTACCGCCTACCGAGTAAATATTTGATAAATAGAAGAATTTATTCTATTTACCAAATATATACTTCAAGTTGACCGTTAAATGCTTTTCAAACTGTCCCTTTTTAGCGAATTATAATAGTGAATAAGCTTTTACCGTAGTACTCATGGTAAGACCTGGACCCGGGACCGATTTACTTTTTCGTTTTGAGGTCCCTAGAGACCAAAAACACCATCCATTATTAATAAATAATACACTATAGTACCCTTTTTTAATATTTTTGTATATAATATAATACTGTATATTTAAAAAAATGGGTACTATGGTGTATTATTTATTAATATTAATTACAGTAGCCCTACACGTGAACAGTATCAAATATAATATATATATGTATATATATTTATATACAGTATATATATATATGTCTCCGTTAGCGCGATAACTCGAGCAAAAATCATCCGATTTTGATTAAATTCGGTATAAACGTGTAAACCTACGTTTATTCGATCGAGTTCTCGAACCAGCATGATCGGATCATGGGAACGGGGCTTTTATGGGGGAAGAAATAGGTTTTCCCATTTTTGCCTCTAAAAAATTAAAACATAGCATTTTCTTTCCAAACCATTTTGTAGAGCTTAAAAAAAAACAAATAAGTTAGGATATTGAAGCGTTATTATGCGCCTAATGGTTAGGGAGAAAATTCCAAAAAACTGTAAATTTAAAATTCCCATGTTATTCTTTTGGAGAATAAGTAAACTGTTGTAGTTTGTTTGTTTATGATCATATTTTGATCAAATTTGGAAAATGCATTAATTTCATACTAAACTATTAACATAAAAAAAACCTTTTTACCCTCCCTGTTGCAGCAAACCTAAGTACTCGTTAAACTAATGATATTTAAATAGGGAATAAATGTTATATTTTTAAGGAGACATTTTAGTGTTAATCCAATCAGGCAAATGGAAATTCGCTTAGTCTGCAGGTTTGCTGTGGCTGGTGTATTTTAGTTTATATTACGTTTTGTTATATTTATGTTTTACTTGAATGATCGTTTGTATGAATAAATTAATTTCTCCCAACGTTGTCCTGTTGTGTAAAGTTTTCTGTGTCATTTTTCATCATTTCCGAAGAAAGTAACATCCTATGCTTTCGCCGACCAAGGACACAAAGATCCAGTAGAAATGAAGAACTGAAGACATGCAACAAAATAAGGAATAAACTGGAAGAGAATAGCTCAACATAATTGAAAGCAGACAAAAGTTACGCCTATCGTAACCATCGGAAAAGAAGAATATATAAAGAAGACTAAAGATTTTATCAAAGAAAATACTTTTAGACTGTAAAACAACATATGCTTTGTACACAAAAACCTAATAGGAAGCAACTATTATGCCTTTACTCCATAAAAGATACACGTAAAGGGACGGCAATTGAAATTATTTCTATATAATACGAATGCAAAAACCGCTGTTGATTAACAAAATGTAACTGTCTTTTATAAAATGTTTTCTTGGGAAAAGAAACTCATTCCAATCTTGTTCAAAAGTTTGGATTTAACCACATGAATAAACCAAATATCAATGACACGAGTCGAGCGAAACTTTATTTACCAGGAACATTAATTGTTCAACTACAAGTCACTGTTACTCGTGCTTAATTAACAGTTGCAACTACTATAACGAGGGAAACTATCTGAATGTTTACAGCAAAATGTCACCAGCTACAAGTCAACTTTGTCATTGTTGAAATTGTTTACTGGGCTGAACAAAACCGAGTATCCTTTGTTTGATTCCACATGTTCTTGGATTCATTTACTGCGTTCAGTGCTTTATTATAGTTTCACTGTTGTGTCGTATTTCAGCTGTATTATTTATAACGAAACGCAAGCAATTTCGACGTAATATTTTAAGCATTTTTTCATCAAAAACATATTAAAATAAATACAATTTTCAATGCATAAAATAATCTGTACAACGTTGATTCTGTAAAATCATTGCATAGGCTTGCGGATTCTGTTAAAATAACTTAAAACCCATTTTTTATCTTTGAAAATCAAGTGTAATTTTTATAAACCCTCATTTCATAAAAAAGTTTTATGACTTTTGAAGATTTTAAGATAAGAAAAGTCTACATTTGTTTTTGTATGTTGTGATTTTGTATGGTTTTAACATAAGGTTATTTCGCCAGTCAAACAAATATAATACAGTACAGTATATTTTATTCATTTAAAAATCCTTACTGTACAATGGCGTAACACTTTTTAATTCACTTCCACTTTTTCTTAAACTTTATCCAAACCAATTAAAATCTAAAAGACAATTAAAATCTTTGTTGATGAAGTTTACCCGTTTCAACGTCCAAGAATTTTCATCTAAATTCAGTTCCATGAATCGTGATGTGAATATTTAAATATAAATTTACACCATTGTATATTGTATAAGATTGTATATCTGTCAATAGTTCTTTAATCTATGTATCCAACTTTTATTTCATTTTCACTATGCCAATACAACTTGTATACATTGTTAATTATGGCTCAATAAATTATTTGATTTGAATTTATTTGACCCTATTACAAGCGTACTACCCAATATTATGAGCATTGAATTCGCTTGATATTTTTGTAAATTTAACAGATAGGTAACGAATCAAATTGCCAATTAGAAACTTACTTTCCAGGATTTTTTATAGATGCTCTAAATAATTTGAAACCTTAACGATGAGCTCTAGACCCAGTTGACTTGACCATCACTTGAGTGTCGGATTATAAGGGACTACATGACATCAGTGTATGCTTGGCTTTACAGTGTCTAGATTAGTATATGACGTCACAATATGTGTAGAGAATGGCTGATTAGGTCTCTGAATCCTCTTGAGTTGCAATAATGACAAAAACAAGTACAATTGAAAACTTTGTACTTCAAATTTGAGATTTAATTTCGAGCAATCTTTATTTCAGGACATTAATATATTAACAAATGAAAAAAGATTGTTGCGAAGCTTGAAAATCATCGTTTTATAGTTCATACTTATTGGTTTGCCTTATACAATCACAACATAACATAATTCGAAGTAAACTACTATAATGGAGATTGGCAAAACCCATTTTAATTTAATTCCTGGTCCACAAAATCTATAATAGGGCAAATAAACTTAAACGACTGTTGTATTTTTTTTTATTTACCTAATGGAACATATTTAACATACACATAAATACATGCTTTGCTTCGACTAAGTTTGAGATATTTTGTGTTATTGTAAATGAATCTAAAAGTTAAGTTACTAAAGAAATTTGAATAGATTCCTTTTACCAAATCAAAATAGTACGAAATATTTTAAACAGCTTACGAGATTTGTTGAAAATGATCCTTTGTAAAGGATTTTCGCAAACAAACAGATAAAGAAGTGTTTACATCCCTACACACGTGTAAAGCGTCGTTTTGCCTTTGAAGTAACTCAACTTGTTTATAAATCGATATCATCGCTGGACGCTTTTTGTACTAAAAGGTATCTTTGGGTATTTAATGTATGGAATATTCAAACAATTTGTTTGGCTTGTATTTAAGACTTAATCATGACAGTTTGTAATCCAGTTGAAATTAAGTAGTTTGATGAGCAGTTAAACTTTTCTTACAAAAAAATCAGATTTATTTAACCTATCCAATCGGATATTGCTTAAGTTCTTTAATGAAATTGCTAAGCTATTCATTGATTTGAATTCTTAAACAAATCCTATTGTATTAAGTATTTTTTTTTTTACTGTAAGTTATTAAAAGATGTAATTTTTTAAACGGCGTTGCCTCGTTTTGTTGTGCAACAAGGATAGCAATATTTCTAAAAAATCTAGCTTTATACGAAAATTTACGAACAAACGTAGTCCCAAGGATAATATTATCTATAGTATTATAAAATTAAGGTGGTGTCTATCTGTCTGTCACGACTAAAATACTAAACCGATACTGCCAAAATTAAGCAGAAATATGGTCCACATATTTAGGAATTTCTTAGGACTATTCACTTCCCTGAGTTCCTCTCGGGCTACGCCCCTTGGATGTTTAAAGTTTTGAGGTGAGGTTACCAAAAGTAAATACTACTTGGTGTGCATTAAATAGGTGTTCCTATTAAGCCACTAGTTGACAATTATTTACATAACTACACAAACGCACCCACAACAATATCGCCAAACAACTTGAAATAATTCTGAAAGATTATATATTGTAACTTCTACACAATAACCACAAACTAATGCAATCTATCGCTTTGGAAATTAGCTAAAAAGTTGGTTTTAGGCAAAAGAGAAATAAGATAATAATTTGTCAAGAAACTAATTATAACAATAACACTACATAACACATCTCCCCTTTAGTATGAAAATACCGACTAACCAAAAG